TTTTTGGATTCTTTAACTTGACTGTTCTTATATATCGGAAATCGACAGTAGATTTTCAGCATGCAAAAATAATGATTATCGCATTCCTTAAAGGGGCATGGACACAATTTCAGCTTATAATTTTCATTTTTTTTTCCCATTTTCACAAATATTTAAGAAAGGTCTTTCTAATGATCATCAAAATTTGAACTTCAGTTGTCGAGATACAAGAGAGATTTATAGCTCCAAACAATTGTTATGTAAACATGGTCCGTGTCATGTTTTTGTTTACATACGTTAATATACTAATATATGTTCGTTCACAGCAGATAATTTCAATGAAGAAGTTAATTCTAAACACGATTAAACAGTTTCTCGTGATTTACTGAATTTCATTACGTTATAAATATGATAATTTCAATATGTAAACAAAAACAAGGCACGAGCCTATGGAAGGGAATTACCGCCAAAAGTCTATGTATCTTGCTTTTATTCTTATTCTGCCTACTTCTTTATGCTTTGTTATTATTGTAACTATATGTCACTTTATTGTTTTCATATTCGTCTTTATTACATTTCACTTTGACTTTTATCATTCTTCGTTTTGCCCTTACTTCTATGTTGCTTTATTCTTGTAAATTCATTAATTCTACTTTCTATTAAACTTATACAGTTTCTTAAATAAATTATTAGGGTTATCTCTACTACGAATGTTAATTCAATCACGCAAACAATGAAGCATATTCAATGAAGTCGAATGGAAGTTGTCAAACCGTCAAAATTTAGTGCGGCATTATAACGCTAGGTGGTGTGGTGTTGGTAAAACAAGGTAAGCAAACCCGGGCTGGGGTTATTTGAGATTCTTCAATACGCCTTAATACTTTATCAATCGAACTTCTGAAGGCCGGATCCGATTTCACCCGATCCAATGATGGAAACTCCATATTTATTTTCTCTGGGCACACAGGAATAGCGGCCTCTTTTTTCAGACATTACTTTATACCATACTGAATATGTTCATTGAAAGGCCGACGCACGTTTTGTAAGAGTACTGGTCAAATAAGTTAATATAGTATAGAAGGAAGAAAATTTAAATTTTATACTATAGAAGTTGAATCTAACCCAAAACCCACCCCGCTCCCGAAATAGGATTTCATTGGCGTCGGAAGCAAATTGAAGGGGGGGGGCTAAGTGTAAGAATTTTTTTAGACCTTCAAAAAAAAAACCTGACAAGAAAAAAAAAGAAATGTTCATTTTCCAAACACAAAAATCCTATTTGGCGGGGTGGGGGTGGGGTGGGGTGTTTTTAGGTTCGAACTCCAGTGCAAAATTTTTTTCCAAACACCACCTTTTTCCCCATTTCAAACCCATACTGCATCATATCCATGGAAAGGGGGGGGGGCTAAACCTACGCAGGAATGTTCAATGTCTATACATGTACTAAGTCTATCTTCGGAAAAAAGTGGGGGTTAACCCCCTCCCTTCCCCGGTTCCGACGCCTATGTATTTTCAAGTCTGGACAATTTCCTGGGTTTTTTTTTTTTGCTTGTCAAGTTGTTTTCAGCCGGGTAGCCTGAATTTTTATTCTCTTGTTGCTCCCCCCCTCCCCACTTTCAAAAACGATGCTACGTCACTGTTCTCTCACCTGAAAAATATAACTCTATTAAAGTTATTTGTTGAATAATTGAATTGCAGTTTAATTGACATAAAAATTTTAATATTTTTAATATCTTTAGTACGCACCGTATTTGACATCAGCCAGGAGAGCTAAAAAAATCTTAAAACTCGAAAATTCTATTTGGTGGAGATAAGGGGGGGGGGGGGGGTCGTCAAATTTTTTCAGTACTAAATTTTACTCATATGCATGCCATTAAGTACATGACTTTTAATATATAAATTGACTATTAGTACTGCAAAAAAGTGTAAGGGATGGGGGCAACAAGCCTTTCGCTGAACTTTTCCAGTAATAAAAAGTTACATTTAAGAAAACGTTTCGTGGCCACCCTCCCCTCTATCGGTGAAACTTAACCCATAGGAGGTCGTCCACCCTGAAGTCAGTAAATATATTGAGACTTGGGGTGTGATTGTACATTGTATAATGTCCCCTTCGAGAATTTTTCGCTCAAATGGAGAAGCCACCTCTTGCCGGTGGAGAGCTGCAAATTTGTCCTATATACTCGGCACTTATAGCCATTGAGCAGTGAGGGATCTTTTTTCGTGCCAGCACTTACTGCGACACGGGACCTCGGATAATACGGTCTACATCTATTCCGAATGACCGAACTCCACGTCCTATAGTGGGATTCGAACCCACGACGTATTGATCGACTCCTTAAAACTGTACTTTGTGACTCTAGAGCAAACGCCGTAACTACAGTGCCCCTCGGGCGACTGCACCCGGGGGGGGGGGGGTGAAGGAAGAGTCATTATCCATATGTACTCGTGAAGATTATCTATAATATATGTTTAACTAAATGGTTAAAATGATTTAATTATAAAACACTATTAAAATGATTTTATTTAAATATTTATTCATATAGGACGTATAACTTTTCTTCAAAAACTGAAAACGTTGGTATATAAACATTGTTTTACGATTAAAAAAAAACTATTCGGGGGAGGGGTTGATATGAAGGGTGCGAATTGCTATATGTAGCCAGATTTCCCACGGTAGACTAGCTATATATTGAAACTTCCCCGGGGGAAGTCCCACTGTATAGTCTATGTAGTCAGTCTTCCAGGGGAAATCTTACCATCTAGCGAGACTTCCGAGGGAATGGCATGTATCGGGTACATACAGTACCTGAACTTATAACAAACATCAGTCATTTGAAAATCTAAGTTCGATTGATAAAGTAGAAAGGTAGAAAATTGAAAAATGTCGAATAACCCCGGCCCGGGTTTGCTTTCCTAATTTTACCAACACTCGTAGCGAATACCCCTGCCACCTAGCGTTATAATGCCGCACTAAATTTTGACAACTTGTATTCGTCTTCATTGAATATGCTTCATTTTTTGCGTGATTGAACTAACGTTCGTAATAGAGATAATCATTTAAGAAACTGTATCAATTTAAAAGAAAGTAAAATGAATTAACAAGAATAAAGCAACATAGAAGTAAGCAGGCACGTAGCATCGTTTTTGAAAGTGGGGGGGCCAACCAGAGAAATTTTTTTTTTTAATTACCTGAAAAAGTTGACAAGCAAAAAAAAAAAAAAAAAAAAATTAAAAATTTAAAAGTTGCCCAAACTCGAAGATCCTATTTCGTGGGGGGGGGGGGGGGGGGGGGGGGGGGGGTAAGGGCCAACTTTTTCAGAGCCAAGTTACTTTCACTTCCAATTTTTTTTCCCTACAATTCCTTCATATCAATATACTATGGTTAAAAGTGAGGGGGGAGGGGGGGGCCCAACCATTCTTTCAATGAACATTTACTATAGTAAAAGTAATGTTGGAGAAAAAAGTGGGGGGGCCAGGCCCCCCCTGGCCCCCCCTGATACTACGTCCCTGGTAAGGGCAAAATGAAGAAGGATAAAAGTCAAAGTGAAATGTAATAAAGACGAATATGAAAACAATAAAGTGACATATTGTTACAATAAAGAAGTAGGCAGAATAAGAATAAAAGCAAGATACATTAGACTTTTGGCAGTAATTCCCTTCCATACGAGCCTTGTTTACATACAATTGTAATGAAGAACTTTAAGGTCTGTATCTCGTATGTTAATCAACAAATGATGTTCAATTTTTTGTTGATCATTAGATGATACCTCAGTTTGGAATTGTAAATATTAAAACTGGTTTTAAAACATAGGTAATCAGAGATTACAGAGCTCATGCAAATTTGATTTGATACTTTGGAATAGGCCTAAATAAAAACTTCAAACTAGTTCTTCAACATGAAAACGTAATTAAAATCCAGCATCTGAAGCAAGATTGAGAGTTTTCATCCCTTGATGCATCATTTGTGCAAGTTTGGTTTATATAAGCCTTATAGTTTCTTGGTAATAGACCTGCACCCATTATTTTTATCAGGTCCATTATCTGGAAAATGTATGTCAAATTCAGCACCTGAACTTTAGTGTGTATCCTATGATGTATCATCCATGCAAGTTTGCTCAACATAGAGCTCAAAGTTATTTGGAAATCTTAATGAAATATGAAAAAAATAACCTTTTCACCAATCCAGAAAATGTAGGTCAGATTCAGCATCTGAAGCAAGCCTGGTAGAATGCACCCTTAGATGTATAATTCATACAAGCTTTGTTATTAAAGAGCTCAGTTACTTGGAAATGAATCCTGCACCAAAATTTTTAACCTGTTCACTCAAGCGGAAAATGTAGGTCAGATTCAGCATCCGACGCAAGTCGGTAGTATGCATCCTAAGATGTAATATCCATGCAAGTTTAGTCATTAAAGGGCTCATAGTAACTAGGAAATGAAACCTGCACCAAAAACTTTAACCTGTTCACTCCACCGGAAAATGTAGGTCAGATTCACCATCCGAATCAAGTCTGGTAGTATGCATCCTAAGATGTACCATCCATGCAAGTTTGGTCATTATAGGGCTCATAGTATTTTTGAAATGAAAACTGCACCAAAACTTTCAAAAAGGAAAACTGCTCCAAAAAAAATTAACCTTAACCCGGGACGCCGACGCCGAGGGTATTATACATAAGCTCCCCCAACTTCGTTGAGGTGAGCTAAAATCAGTTGAGACTGTGTCCATGCCCCTTTAAAACAATACAAATCTGTTAAGAGGGCATAATTGAAATTTCAGGTGGAATCAGGTGTCTAGTAGGAGTAAGCATCCCCTGTAGACCGGTCACTCCCGGCGTGAGTACTACATATTGATCAGGTAGACGGAAAATTTGTAGTCAAATTCAGCAGCTATATGAACTCTACAGATCATGTGCAAAATACTACCGTTTGTCAAACAGTGACAGCCAATAGGGCCAGGTATTCGTAAATGTAATGCATGTTATCATAAACAGTTAGTAGTACATGTAGATTTGAGGTAAATTATCACAACATATTTTTCTTGCTTTTTTATTAGCACTTAAATTCAGAAATATAAAACATTGTCAAAAAATTTGTGAATATGGACATAATTTTGGGAAAACAATGTCTCAAAAACTCTAGATCCCAATAATTAAGTTAACAGTCAAAAAATATCTCAACCACAGACAAAGCCATATAGATACATGTATAGAAACGAAAACATAAAAAAATATCCAGTAGTGAATGAAACTGGTTTGTGCACAGGACCAGCATACATTTCTTTAAATTGTCATCGCAGGTGGTAATCTCGTCAGCGAAAGACGTCATTCGTGTTTCTCACAAATACACTGCAAAAGAAATAAAAAGAAATCAAATAATTTCCTATAGGAGCCTGGAAACAGTTGCACTTTTTACATTTTAACTTTCTTTTGATTTTTTAAAGAAGATAACCAGTCTAAAAAACTAAACCTTTTTGAATATTCTTAGAATTCATTTAACAAGGACTGACTAATTTCAACACGTCAAAAACGTCTCACTTTGCTATCTCAATGCACATTTTAAAAAATCTTTTTTTTTATCAGATGTTCAATCATGTCAAAAATGTAGATTTTACATGTATTCTGAGGATACTGAGCATTGCCTTTTGTTATCAAATATATATATTGTTGATAGAAAATTGTTCAAAAAAAAATCATATTTAAGTAATTATTTATATATCCGTACCTTGACCTGTTAAACAAGGAGAGGATGTGCATAGGCTGTCTGTTGCCCAATCCTTATTGGATTATTCAACAAAATATGTTTAAAGGTTAAACACCTTCAGTGTGTATTTGATACAGCTATCCTGAATTGTTTATTTTAAACTGAGCTAACGCTTAGTTATGAAAAGGAGGTTAAGGTCAGATAGAAGGTCGAGGTTAAAAAATGTTCTGTGCAGTTAAATAGCTTATTTCAGGATGTATCAGCATGTGAAGCTTGATTACACTAACTCAATTTTTTTTCTGTAAAACTGAGCTAAACATTAATATAAGAAAAGTGAGGTCAAAGTCAAATGAGAGGTCGAGATCAGTGAATGTTGATGCAGTTGCATAGCGCTTATCGATGTGCATCAACATAGGAAATTTGATAAAAACTATCTTGGAACAGTTTCTTGGAAACTGATCTTCGCACTAAGCTAAACAGAAACGCCAAGAGCGACGGAAGGACAGACAGAAGAACGGAAGACGGACAGGACAAACTCTATATGCCCCCGCCATATTCATTGCGGGGCATTAAACTGGAATTTGTTGAGCATTAAAGCAACTAGAGGTACTGTGAGCAATGAGCTCACTAAATGATACCCCCCGCCTCCCATATGAATAAAATGGCAGTGTCCATGTTTAGCTCTGGAAAATCCAAAATATATGTCAGATCAAAAAGTAAAATAGGAGGTGCACAATGGCAATATGTAATAAAGATTCTGTGAAAGTTTCATCAAATTTCATTCAGTGGTATGAGAGAAGTTGCGGATAAGAGATGGGTACCCCAAAGCGTAACAGACGGACGGACGGACAGACGGATGGACAGACAGACGGACGGACGGACAGACGTACAGACGGACGGAATTAACGATTACTATATACCCTCCCGCTTTTCAAGCGGGGGGTATAATAAATATATAAATCAATATACTTACCATACAGCACCAAATAAATATCCAGAAGGGGAAGAAAAGAGTTATGAGGAGATTCAACGCAATCTTATCAGCAAATCTGCAAATGAAAAAAAAAATATGTACATCTAAATTTGATTGATGGTACAATGTATGTAAAAGAGCCAATCATTGTTATCTTACTTAATATCATATACATATATGTATGTAGAATAAACTAGCAAACAAATTCGGTAAAGAAAAATGCTTAAAAATAAAAAAAATTCAAATATCATAATGGAGTTCAAAATTATTTAAAATTTCAAGCTGTGATAAAAGACTCACAGAGCACACTCGTAAATGTATTACAGACGGACGGACGAACGACGAACAATGGGTGATCAGAAAAGCCCTTAGCAATTTGTAAATGATATAAAATGTAATAAATGACAGTCATACCTATCTTAAAGCTAAAACGCGTTTCTTCGGATAAACACCTAAATAACTCGGAAAATGCTGGAGAAAGCAAAAAGTATTAAAAGTTTGTCGTGCATCACTTTTGTATAAAAATCGATTTCAGGGCAGTTTTGAGTGGAAGTTACTGTTCTGTATAAAAATTTAGAAATTTTCAATTCAATCCACAGTTTTTATTGGAAGACATTACTACATGCATCGGACAATAGACGCTTTGAATGCGTTAGAGTTACTGACGTCAAGGCACAATACCAGTTATCTTTCTTTTCGACGCTTGTTTTCCGATCTTGGAAGAAAAGGTCCTAGAAGATGCCCTTGTAACAATGCACTTTGAAAAAATTACGCACTTTGAAAAAAAAAATTTCAAAGTGCGTTACATGTAAATTTGGGACCAAGCTAACGCACTTTGAAAAAATGACATTTCTTTTCAAAGTGCGTTAATATCGACATATTAACGCACTTTGAAAAAAATGCGTATAGCTTGATCAATATTCTTACAATTTTTCGGTATGATAAGTAATTGATAAAGTTTGATAACGTTTGGTGATAGGGTCACCTCAGGAACTGAGATATTGACGTTTTAAATATTTTAGGCTTCGATAAATGTTATAAAAGGGAAATGGGTCTTTTAGAAAAAATATGAAGAGATGATTGTCTGATATCATACTGTAAACCAACTTTTATTTGCGAAAACTTTATTTCGCGATTTACTGGAGTAAAACTAGTTCGCGATGATTAATTTTTGCGATCAAACCTATTTTGGATCTGTTGTTAATAGACACAGAGACTTTAAGGACTGGTTCGCGGGGAGAAATATTCACGATGAGGCTCGATCTCGCGAACTTATAGCACGCGAATAAAAGTTTATGAAAGTTGACAACGTCATACCAGCTCTATTATACACTTATCCACTGGGTGTGAGTGTGATAGCTCTTTTATCAAACCCGTGACAGGGAATTATTCCCCGAGGGCTTGCCCGAGGGGAATAGACCCTGTCAAGGGTTTGATAAAAGAGCTATCCCACTCACAACTTGTGGATAAGCGTTTTATCATACTGATGTATAATATAATTTCTGAGGTTAGAATTTTTTGGAGTAAGATAATACTGCAAGAATATCCAAGAAGATCTGAAATCCTTATGACGTCACAATGCTACTGAAGTCATTACGACTTCATTAGTCAATAGAAATAACCGCTTGAAATCAAAATTGGTGGCAAAAATTGCATGAAAATTTTCCGAGGGTGGATAGCAAAAACTATACCCCGGGATATAGCTTTGCGATGCGGGAACTATAAAAGATAGTTATTTTACCTTCTGAACTTTATATTGGAAACATTTTAACAGAAGTATAATAAAAATACATATACATGTTTCGGATATAGCATAGGCATCGAATCCAGGCGAAAGGCAAATGGGAGAGGGTTTAGCCCCCCCCCCCCCCACTTTTTTGCAAAGATATACATCATATAAACATTGAAGATATGGCTTACCATTAGGGGGGACGGGGTTATTACTTTACTCCCGTTTAATTTGTAACCATTACCTATGTATTTGAAAGATAAAAAGTTGGGCTGAGAGACCTTCTACCCGTCTTCTTCTCTTCTCGACAGGGGTAAATCAATTCAAAAATTCAAATACATGTAGTTTTTCGAAAGATAAATAACAAATCAATGCATTCCATTACTAAAATTAAGTCCAGAATTTTTGCTTTATACATACTTTTTTTCAAAGTGCGTTAAGTGTCTCAATGGTAAAATATGTAGATGTAAACTCTTAACGCACTTAACAAAAAATTCCAAGTGCGTTGAGTTGGTCCAAAATTTAACGCACTTTGAAATTTTTGTAACACATGGTTCCTCTTCATTATTGCCTACATTTTGTATAAATATTTATACCCCCGCTTGAAAAGTGGGAGTATACTGTAATCGGTATGTCCGTCCGTCCGTCCGTCCGAGGCGGGGGGGGGGGAGGGGGGTATAATTTAGTGAGCTCTTTGCTCACAGTACCTCTAGTTTAGATATTGTATTGATTTTACCAAGCTATGTTTCTCATTCAAATCTGGCCGTTATGAACAATTCTATCAGGTTGAATTAAAAGCTGAACTTTTTTGTAGAGAAAGGGTCAGTTGAATCACAACTATCTAAACCACCTGAAGAACGACGAATGGGAACATAATTTATTTCCTAAGCACATTTTCACAGTGTATTCATTATTCAAGTGAAAAATTCTCGGGTTAAACAATACACAAACATGTTCATGTACACCACTTGTTAACTGACAAAAAATGAATTAAAATCCGTTTTCCACTTCTTCTCTTCTGCCCTCCCCCCTCTCTCTCTCTCTATCTCTCTCTCGATGCCTGTTCTTTCATTGAAAAAAAAATTAAAAGAAAATTATTTAGCGAAGAAACAACTCTGTGGACAAACCTTTCTTTTTTCACTTGTTGAATGACCACAGGGGGTGTTGGATTGGCCATGACAACAGTGGTCGTATTCGTGTGATGTGTATTCATGGTTGTTTTCCTTTATTTTTATTCCTGAAATTAGAGAGAAGTATGGAGAATTTGCTTTTCATTATATTTTTTAAAAGTTTTCATTATATTTTATTTTTTAAAGTTTGCTCTAGTTTCGTAATGAGTTTTCTCTGGTATAGATATACTTATCCTAGGACAAAATTAAACTTTGATATGACTTTCTTTTTAAAACACTTTTTTCAGTTTTACATGTAATTGTCAAAGGATTTTTCCGTTACTTCCCAATCATGACAAGACGCATGCATACGGAGGGTGTTACCGGTCAGTGGGGGATGCTCACTCCTCCACGGCACTTGATCCCACTTCTTTTTGTTCAAACAAAACATTGTACTAGACATCGAAAGCCCCCTTCTACTTCTTAGTAAAGTCATATAAGGGTCATGTTGTATGTTGGAGTACAAAAATCAGGTCCAGTACAATCTCTTGATTTAGCTATATAGCTTTAAATAGCTATATAGCTTTATACTAAATCACCCCAGACCTTAATTATATTATAGTGTTTTTATATCTTTTAACTGTGAATAGTGTTTTTCTAAACTTTTTATCTTCACTAATAACTTAATACTGTTCCCTCTTCACCGCATTGAAATTTACTTTTCTCTGCTTTTTTATATCTTTTAATCAGCTGCGCACCCTACTCAGAGTACTCAAAATCTGAGGGCGAGTAGTATCGAGAGATAGATAAAGCTATTCAAAATAGCTTTATTAAGCTATTTATATACAATTTTTCACTAAAATGTTTTTTTGCTAGAAACAAACAAAAAGTCGCATGTATTTGACATGTATTTAACTCTTTACATGTATATATGTACTATGGGCTATCAAAGCAACAACCAAAATCAAAGAAAGTTCTAACATTTGCAGCTTTTGAATACTTTTAAGCAAAAAAAGAATTTCTATTGTTAGAGTAACTGTCCACTACCCAGAGTGGCAGTGTGTGTGTTGAGGCATGGATAGGTACGACTTTAATTTTGTAACATTGCATTGTTTTTTATCAATCATCGTGGTAGCGATCGAGTGGGAACGGGCGGGAATATAAAAGAAAAAAAACTAAATATTCTTAAAATAAGAATTTTATTTGCGATTTCACAGAGAGGAAATCGTATGAAACGATTTTGTTTTGTTTAAAGAATGAGCAAAAACGGCGTGATCCACGAAAGAACTAGAAGATCAAAAGAGTTTTAAACACAATCATCAGATACTATACATTTTAATGTTTGTCAACAAACTTACTAGACGATAGCATACTAAGTACTCACCGTTTGCACTGACTAATTTGGTGGTCCGTTTGTGTTCTTTTGTTCACAGTCCAGCAAATCGCTTGATTGACTCTGAAAAGAATCCCGTGAATCCTAATGCTGTTTAGATTTTACGATTAACAACTGAAATTCATACGCATACATGTTTTCTTACATTTTCACCCGTCATCTCACCTTTTTCAGTTCACAAAACTTCTAGCGTTGGCTTTGCTCTCGTTTTCTAATTTAATGACACAAGAATCACGTGACTTCTGAGTTTTGTTCACCAGAGAGAAGAAAGTGGCGGATCCTATCAATGATTTACATACGCAGAATTGTTTATCTTATTGTGGATATTTCCATAAATGAGCTGTTTGTATGTATTAAACATTGGTTTTATTTTCTAATGTAATCAAATGGTGTACATGTAACCTAAAGCGGGATCCTTATCTTAAAGTAAAAAACTAGGATAATTTCGAATTTCCAAAATTTAGAAAAACCACTCTGCATTATTAGTGGTTTTGTCTTCTCTTTCAGACGATATGCTAGATTTATCAATTTATTAATTTTTCAGTTGAGTCTTGTTGGATACACTGATTTCAATTTCATTGACTTTGAAGTTAATCACTGGTTTCTGCGCATGCCCGGGGATTTTAGTCGCTTTAACAGTTAAGGTAATTAAAACTTCAAACGACGTGGCGTATATGATGCCAAGACTTTTCATCAAAACAGCCACGTAGCATCGTTTTTGAAAGTGGGGGCCAGCCAGAGAAAAAAAATTACTTACCTGAAAAAGTTGACGAGCCAAAAAAAAAGGAAATTGCCGAAACTCGAAAATCCTATTTCGTGAGGGGGCGGGGGGGGGGGGGGGGGGGGGGGGGGGGGGGGGGGGGGGGGAGGAGAGAGAGAGAGAGAGAGATAATATTTTCTTACATTTTGAACACTACATTTCCCTGTTATCTATCTCATGTAGTATAAAGTGAGGGGGGGCAACCAGCCTTTCAATGTACATTTCCTATAGTAAAAGTAATGTTGGGGAAAAAAGTGGGTGGGGGGCAGCCCCCCCCCCCCCCCCCCTGTTGCTACGTGCCTGCTAAAGATATCTTTTCTAAACCCCTGGTAATGCGTGCTGATTTTTTGTCTGTAACACGAACATTCTTAAATTAAGAAGATCTGGAAAAATTATGAGTATTTTAGATGCCTTGCTTATTTGTCCTTCAATGGAAGCAGTTCTCTTCTGATTTTGATATTTCTTTAACACTTTGAAGTTGAATTAATTTCCAAACACGGGATTTCTTATAATGATACTTTTTCAAATACTTCGATCTTATGTCATGAAAAAAGGACATTAATTGTACATGTAGTTGGAATAAAATAAAATTCGTCTTCGATGACATTTAAAGAACACATTTTACATATTAATATATTTTCTCTAATTTAATTAACGTATCATTGAACATTTAAATTATGGGCAGATAGTCTAATTCTAGCAATTTTTATTTTGTTCATTTGATTAATATGGTTATATTGAACACCAAAATTATCAACAGTGATTTCGGCCGGTTTTCAAAATTTCTCAGACCTGATTCTGTTAATGAATTATAAAGTGAAATTCGTCAGCGGTTTCATTTGAAATAGATAATCCTCGTGTAATTCAATAATATTGCACCAAAAATGTATAGTAAACTAGAGTTACTGTGAGCAATGAGCTCACTAAATGATACCCCCGCCTCCCATATGAATATAATGGCAGTGTCCATGTTTTGCTCTGGAAAATCAAAAATATACGTCAGATCAAAAAGTAAAATAGGAGGTGCACAATGGCAATATGTAATTAAGAATCTGTGAAAGTTTCATTAAATTTCCTTCAGTGGTATGAGAGGAGTTGCGGATAAGAGATGGGTACCCCAAAGCGTAACAGACGGACGGACGGAAATACCGATTACTATATACCCTCCCACTTTTCAAGCGGGGGGTATAATTATTTTGAATTAGTTATGAGCATCGTTGATTTGTGTCGCTTTTCAAAATGGTGGTTTCAAACTCTCTCAAAACTGACTCATTTATCGCCTACATAAAACAATAAAAATTATTATATTTTAGTGAAAATCATTTGAAATAGATAACCTATGTGTAGTTCAATAATTCTAGACCAAAAAAAATAAGTATAGAAAATCATTATTTTGAATTAGTTATGGGCATCAGTGATTTCGGCCGCTCTTCAAAATGGCGGTTTCATATTTTCTCAGAATTGACTTATTCACCAGGTGTATATCATATCCAAAATGTGTTTCAACTACGAAAAAATCAAATATTGATTTTTGGAACAATAATGGTTTTTCAAATTTGTTTCCCTCTGGCTCTATGTTAATGAAGCCACCAACATTCAAAATCCTGGCTTTTAATTTCTTTACATCAGATTGCAGGTTTGCACGGAACTCAAGTACAGTTTATTTCATACATCTCATAGGCGTCAGAACAGGGGGGGGGGGGGGAGGGGTTAGGGGGAGCCCCTCCATTTTTTGCAAAAATAGACATAGTATAAGCATTGAAAATTGGGGGTTACCTTTTTTTGCTGGTTTAGCCCCCTCCCCCACTTTCACTTGCTTCCGACGTCTATGCATCTAAAGTATAGAGCTACTATAAGTACATATTACATA